TAGAATAGAATAGAATAGAATAGAATAGAATAGAATAGAATAGAATAACAGAGTTGGAAGGGACCCTGGAGTACTTCTAGTCCCAACTCCCTGCTTAAGCAGGAAACCCTCCACCCTTTCAGACAAACGGTATAGTTCCAAAGCATGCAAATTCAAGGAGATAAATAGGTACCTCTATGGTGGGAAGGTAACGGGTTATAAATACGAACAGTTGCCAGCCATTCTGTATTTTGTTCAAGATGATCATGGGCAGACGGCGAAGGTCCAAATTATGAAAAATGGTCGTAAGTCAAACTTTTCAGTGCTGTTGTAACTTTGAACTGTCACTAAAGGAACTGTTGTTGTAAGTTGAGGGCTGCCTGTACAGCTTCCAGTATAAGAAAGGACATTGAGTTCGAAAAGCTTAGAAACGATTCCGTGACATAGTTTACCAACCTAGTTTCCATTCTGTAGATCCCCAAATTATGATGAATTAAAAAGATGGAAAAAACAAACCCATGACCTATAAAATAATCTAGGGCATTCCTCCCAATATGATGTCCTCCAGGTTTCTCAGGACATCAGAGGACTATAATCCAACCCAATTTAAAGTCTGCAAAAAAAAAAAAAAACAGCTCCGTTTTCGCTGGCAGAGGTAACCGTAGGCCGGTTGTTTCCTTCGCTGTTTCCAGGGTGGTCTCGCGGGCCAGAGATCTAAGCCCCCCATGGGCCAGCCCCTGGGTCTTGAGTTTGACCCCCTTGCTCAGCAGCTTGCAATGCCAGTCCTGTTCACCAGAAGTGCTTCCTGTATTATGTAAAAGGAAGAACATTTATCCAAATTCTTGAACTAACCGAGGCCTAGGAAATTTGGAATTGGGCAAGTGGAGAGAGCTGGAGGACCAGGGGAAGGAAGGGTATCTAGGTAGACAGAGGGAACAGTTTATGCCTTTCACCCAAGCGATGTTTTGTGCAGGGGTGGGCTTCAAAAATTTTAGCAAGAGGTTCTCTGGCTGGTTGCTGGGTGGGCATGGCCATGGTGGGCGTAGCCTAGTCGGCCTCCTGCACCACGGTGGGGAGAGGGGGACGTTTTTGCCCTCCCTGGGCTCTGGAGGCTTTTCTTGAGCCTCCAGGAAGGCAAAAATGGCGTCCCCAGACTCCGGAGGCTGGAAACAGGCCCGTTTTCACAACTTCCTAAACTTCCCTGAGGCCCATTTTTCGCTCTCCCTGAGCCTCCAGGCAGGCCTTGCCCTTACCTGCACCTAAAATGGACCACCTGGACAGGGGTGGGATTCAAATTTTTTAACAACCAGTTCTGTGGGTGTGGCTTAGTTTGATGGGCGTGGCTTGGTGGTCATGTGACTGGGTGGGCGTGGCTTGTGACTAGGTCATGTGGCTATATATTCATTAATCACCTATCCATTAAATGTGACTGGCTGGGCGTGGCCAACTCAACATCACTCACATCGAGGCATGCATCTCCTCGCCTGGCCTCTCGTGACTGTGGGGATGCTGCAACAGTCGTAAGTGTGAAAAAGGGTCATAAGTCACTTTTTTCAGTGCCGTTGGAACTTTGAATGGTCACTCCACACAACCAAAGTACCAGCAAAGGAGGGGAAAAAAACTCCAGAGACATTCCTGAGACAGGAAGTCTAGTCCTGGCAAGAATGTAATAAGGGTTAACAGAGAGGCGGTTTCTGTAAGCAACACCAGAATGTTTCCTTCCTGCCTTCCTTACAGGATTAGCCCAGTAATTTCTTCTAACAACTGGTTCTCCGAACTGCTTAGAATGTTAACAACCGGTTCTAGCGAATAGGTGCGAACCTGTAGAATCCCACCCCTGTGCATGGGGATTCCGGGGAGGGGAGGGGCAGGGTAGGCGGGGCCAGCCAGGAGTGGGATTTGGGAGTTCTCCAAACTGTGCAGAAGCTTAACTAGGGGCTCTCCTGAACCCCTGCGAGCCCCCAGCAGCCCTACCCTTGGTTTTGTGCCCACACTTCCTTTGGGGATGGGTTTCCTTCTCTCCCGGACTTACTTGATGGTCCACTCTTTCGTGTTTATTAAAGTTTCCAGGAAGAAATACTGCAAGGTAAGAATCGGTTTTCCCCAGAGGACGATACTCTGACGTGCTTCTCGTTCTTTCTGCCTTGGGTCACTCGACAAAGAAGGCTCTGGAAAAGGAGAAATGGGAGAGAATGTTATCCTCGGCTTACAACTGTTTGTTTAGTGACCGTTCCAAGTTACAATGGCCCTGAAAAATGCGACTTATGACCATCTTTCGCAGTTACGGCCATTGAACCATCTCCGTGCTCATGTGATTTACATTTGCATGCTTGGCAAAGTGACTCATATTTATGACGGTTGCAGTGTCCCGGGGTCATGCGATCCCCTTTTGCGACAAAGTCAAGGGGGAAGCCAAAATCACTTAACAATCGTGTTACTAATTTAAGAACTGCAGCGATTCACTTACCAAAAGTGGTGAGAAAAGCCATTAAATGGGGCAAAGGTTTTATCCCAAGACTGTGGGAATGTTGCATAAATGGCTGTAAGTCACCTTTTTCAGTGCAGCTGTAAGTTTGGCCACTAAACAAATTGTTGTAAGTTGAGGACTACCTGTGAACACATTGTAGAAATAATCCTCAACTTACAATTCATTTAGTGACCATTGAAAAAAGCAACTTATGACCATTTTTCACATTTACAACCATTGCCGCATTCCCATGGTCATGCAATCAAAATAGAATAGAATAGAATTCTTTATTGGCCAAGTGTGATTGGACACACAAGGAATTTGTCTTGTACTCTCAGGATACATAAAAGAAAAGATAAATTCATCAAGAGTCAAGAATCATCAGGTACAACACTTAATGATAGTCATAGGGTACAATCAACAATCAAATCATACTAGGAAACAATCGATATAAATCGTAAGGATACAAGCGACAAAGTTACAGTCATACAGTCATAAGTGGGAGGGGATGGGTGATCAGGAGTGATGAGAAGATTAATAGTAATAGTAGTGCAGACTTTGTAAATAGTTGGACAGTGTTGAGGGAATTATTTTTTAGCAGAGTGATGGCGTTCGGGGAAAAACTGTCCTTGTGTCTAGTTGTTCTGGTGTGCAGGGCTCTATAGCATCGTTTTGAGGGAAGGAGTTGAAACAGTTTATGTCCGGGATGTGAGGAGTCTGTAAATATTTTCACAGCCCTCTTTTTGACTCGTGTAGTATACAGGTCCTCCATGGAAGGCAGGTTGGTAGCCATTGTTTTTTCTGCCGTCCTAATTATCCTCTGAAGTCTGTGTCTGTCCTGTTGGGTTGCAGAACCAAACCAGTTATCGAGGTGCAGATGATAGACATCACACTTGACGAAATTCATCACACTTAACAAAGTGACTCATATTTATGACAGTCCCAGGGTCATGTGATCCCCTTTTGCGATGGTCTGACAAGCAAAGTCAATGGTGGAACCAGATTTACTTAACAACCGGGTTGCTAACTGAACAACTGCGGGGATTCGCTTCACAACTGGGGCAAGGAAGTTTGTAATATGGGGCCAAACTCCCTTCAGAAATATCTCGCTTAGCAATGGAAATGTTGGGCTTGATTGTGGTCCTAAGTCGAGGACTACTGTCCTTGTTTCGTTCTGCAGGAATGATTGTTACTGACCCACCGTACCTAGAAACCTTCCGTTGTGGTGTTCTTTGCTCATCGCAGTGCGTCTCAAGTCAAAACTTCTTCCATTCTCTGCCATCTCATAGGCCAGTCACTTCGTGGTGCCTAATATCAAAATTAAAACACAATCACCAACCAGAATTATGGATGTAGAAATCAGCTTGAAGACAAAAAGGCCCATTTCGGTAACCCAGGAACAGTTACAGAAATTGGGAATATCTAGTGCAATTGAAAACAAGGACGAGGAGGGACAGGATAGCAACCTTAAAATATTTGAGACTCTTTTAGAAAGAGTACAGAGAAGAGCAACAAAGAGGATTAGGGGACTTGGAGGCTAAAACATAGGAAGAACAGTTGCAGTAGTATAAATGAAAAGGAGGAATGATAATTATCTTAAAATACTTGAGACTCTAGAACAGGGTTCTCCAAAGTTGGCAACTTTTAAGACTTGTGGACTTCAACCCCCAGCATTTATACCAGGGATCTCCAAACTTGGCAGTTTCTGGCTGAGGAATTCTGGGAGTTGAAGTCCACAAGTCTTAAAACTGCCAACTTTGGAGGCCTCTGCTCTAGGAAAGAGTGGAGAGAAGAGAAACGAAGATGATTAGGGGACTGGAGGCTAAAACATACGAAGAACGGGTGCTGGAATTGGGCATGTCTAGTAGAAATGAAAAGAAGGACGAGGTCGGACATGACAGCAGTGTTAAAATATGTGAGGGGGTCTTACAAAGAAGAAAGGTGGGTCAAACTATTTTCCAAAGCACCAAACGGCAGGGCAAGAAAAAATGGAAACCAACCAAGGAGAGAAGTCACCTAGAACTGTGGAATAATTTCCTAATGGTTGTCCCAAAGGTGCTATTTTTTTTTTTCAGGAGGCAACTGGACTTTTCTGGGTTTTTTTTCTTTGAAGGCGTTTCGCTTCTCATCCAGGAAGCTTCTTCAGTTCTGACTGAAGGGTCGAGAACGGAAGGACTTATACTCCTTGCAGACAGCTGGTCGTTATTGAAAGGGACATAAATCTGCAAGGAATATAAATCTTTCCATGCCTCACCCTCCAGTCAGATCAGCTGTCCGCAAGGAGTATAAAGGAGTATAAGAAGCTTCTTGGATGAGTAGCGAAATGTCTTCAAAGAAAAACCAGAAAGTCCAGTTGCCTTTTGAAAAAAGCACCTTTGGGACAACCGTGGCCTGGAGGACTGAGCAGCTCCATAGACATTTCCTAATGGTGAGAGCAATTAACTATTCACCCTGTGCAACCCTCTGACTAGTGAAATGGGAAAGCCAGATGCCCTTAACAACTGTGTGTTATTAACTTAACCACTGCACGGATTTGCTTAACAAACGTGGCAAAGAATAGCCATAACATGTAACCGCCCTGCTACTTAGCAATGGAAATCTGGGGCTGAATTGGGTCATAAGTCGAGGACTACCAGTACAGGGCTCTGTTTCATTCATCCATACAAAGAAGAACCGCCTAATATAAAGCCAAAAAAAAAAAAAATGACTGGGGGAAGAGAGCTGGGAAGAGCTCTAGTGGCGCAGAGGTTAGAGTGCAGTACTGCAGGCTACTTCTGCTACCTGCCGGCTGCCTGCAATTTGGCCGTTCGAATCTCACCAGGCTCAAGGTTGACTCAGCCTTCCGTCCTTCCGAGGTGGGTAAAATGAGGACCCAGATTGTTGGGGGCAATAGAGGCTGACTCTGTAAACTGCTTAGAAAGGGCTGAAAAGCACGGTGAAGCAGTATATAAGTGTAAGTGCTTACATGCCGCTTATATTGGTATTGCAGGCAAAGTCTGCCCACTGCCAGGAGTTCGATCCTGACCCGCTCAAAGTTGACTCAGCCTTCCATCCTTCCGAAGTGGGTAAAATGAGGACCCAGATTGTTGGGGGCAATATCTCAGCCACCCCCCTCCTTGTCTCTTGGCCTGGGGCTGTTTACATTCATGGGTCGGACGCCTCTGTCTACAAGGCGTTCTTTGTCACCCATATCAAAATATCAACAATGCTCCATTGAGCATTGGCGCATCGCATCGTTTTTCTGTTGGACGGTGCGCTTTCCAAATGAGGAGAGCGTGCTTTGCAATTGCGGTCTTGTGGCACGGCACACCAGCCGGCTTTGGTATCCAGAACCTTTAACCCGTGATGTCCTCCTTATGACGTTTCAAACAGATGGCAGTTGGCGGAAAGGAAGGTTGAAATAGGACACAATAGGCTGTCTTCAAATGTCTGAATGGGACTTTAGGGCTGTCCCACTGTGGAGACCATGAGGGTGAAAAACAGTCCCAAGTCACTTTTTTCAGTGCCATTGTAGCTTCAAACGGTCACTAAACGGATGAAGGTAAATTGAGGACTACCAGTCTATATATTTAGAATCTATAGACTTCTAAAATTCTCCTCTTGGTCTAGGTCACGGGTGCCAAACTCCAGGCCCTGTGGGGTGCTTAGATCTGGCCTGGAAATAACAAAGGACCAGCCCGCAGTGCCTCTGCTAGTGAAAATGGAGCTTGTGGGGGTGGGTGGGTTCTGTGGATTCCCCCCTGCACCCCAATTTCAGCCTGGACAGCCTCCTGCAGCCATCTGCTAGCAAAAACAGAGCTTGGGAGGAGCTGCGTGCTGTTTCGGTTGTCAGAGGGCTATCCAAACAAACTAAAAACAAAGAAGGAGAAATATTCCCCCTTTTGCATTTGAGCATGCAAGAAGGGACAGGAAAGGAGAAAGGGAAAGAGAAAAGACAAAGAAAAAGATGGGAAGATTGCAAGGAAGGAAAAATAAGGAAAGAGGGGAAGGAAGAAGAAGACGAAAGGAAAAAGAAGAGAAGGAAGGAAGGAAGGAAGGAAGGAAGGAAGGAAGGAAGGAAGGAAGGAAGGAAGGAAGGAAGGAAGGAAGGAGTCAACTCATAAAATATTTCTATGGTCTTTTTAGAGTTGCCAACAGAAAGGGAGGGGGAAGTAGTGGGCAACTTGCATTCCATAAATGTTTTCAAAGATAGTTTCTAGGTGACTGAAGTTTCTGCCGTGCAAAATTCTAACTGGAGAGCATGATTGATGACTCTGGGCTATGGATGTGTCCCATTGGAGAATAGGAATTCTGATACATCCAGGGGGTGGGGGGAAACCAGGGTCAAGGGTGACAATGAATGATGGGTCTCAGAGTCGGCTACACCCAGGCGCATGTTTACTCCGAATAAATCTTCTTAAAGTTTTGAAAATTCGGCTACAGCCTCATGATTTAAAGTGGGATAACTACTGGCGTCCTGACCGAAGGACGGAAGGAAGGAAGTTTTATAATGAGGGAGGGTCTGAGGGAAGTCCTGCCTTAGCACTTGGCCACCACAGGTGCCCCCCGACATGAATGACATCTAGCTGGCCACATCCACCCCGGCCCCCTTTCCCGTCCAAGAAGGGACAGGAAAAAAGAAAGGGAAAGAGGAAAGAAAAAAGAAAAAGAAGGGAGGATGGGAAGAGAGCAAGGAAGGAAAAATAAGGAAAGAGGGGAAAGAAGAAGAAAGAGGAGAGGAAGAGCTTTGGTGGTGCAGTGGTTAGAGTGCTGCACTGCAGACCACTTCTGCTAACTATCAGCTGCTTGCAATTTGGCAGTTCAAATCCCACCAGGCTCAAGGTTGACTCAGCCTCCCATCCTTCCGAGGTGGGTAAAATGAGGACTCAGATTGTTGGGGGCAAGAGGCTGACTCTGTAAAAACCACTTAAAGAGGGCTGCGAAGCACTATAAAGCAGTATATAAGTCTAAGTACTATTTGCTATTGCTAAGGAAGGAAGCTTCCAAATTTTGATCACGTGACTGTGGGGATGCTGCAATGGTGGTACATGTGAAAGATGGTCATGAGTCATTTTTTTTCCTGTGCCTTTGTGACTTTGAACGGTCACTAAATGAACTGCCGTAAGTCGAGGACTCCCTGTACATCTCTGAACAGCGCCCTGAATTTTTAAGAACTTTTCCAATGGTCTTCCATTTACTTTCTGACAAGCGAAGTCAATGGGGAAACCAGATTCACTCGCCCATCGTGTTACTCACTTCACAAGGGCAGAGATTCGCTTAGCAAGAGAGGTCGTAAAATGGGAGAGAACGCACGCTTAACAACTGTCTTTCTTAGCATCTGATATTTCGGCCTCCGTTGGGGTCACTGAGGACCATCTGTACATTAGAAGCTCTGCCCCTGTTGAAGGCACTGAGGAATCTGGTAAGGAAATAATCTCTGACAACCAAACTCAATGCATTACGTCTAGCATAATGTAATTAGTTGCGGCTCACACAACACACTATGCTTAAATTATAGCTTAGGAGCCACGTTGCTTAAGTACACACAGCGCATTAGCCAAACAAGACAGGCTGTGATTTAGTGCAATATAAATCTAGTTAGTGTGTGCTCTAGGGTACTGCTTTTCAGTTAAGGGCCGAGTTTATAAATGGACTATACTTTTCTTGAGGGAGAAATGAGGGAGGTGTTTAAAGTTAAGGTTTCACGGAGAAATGAGTCAGAGGCTATATTTATATATATATATATATATATATATTGCTTTCTTCAGATCCTAGGGAAACTGAAATAGAGTTGTTTTGTACGACACCTACCCCAAAGGCTTCAGATTACGATTACGGGAAAGGGAATTCCAAATAAATGTTGTGTAACACATCCTGACGCTCTGTTTACACATGGCTGGGGTCCAGGACGGGGCTTCCAAAATTTTAGCAAGGAGTTCTCTGCTCAGTTGCTGGGTGGGCGTGGCCATGGTGGGTGTGGCCTAGTTGGCCTTCTGCACCATAGCGGGGGAGGGCGTTTTTGTCCTCCCTGGACTCCCGAGGCTTTCCTTGAGCCTCCGGGAGACAGAAAATGGCCTCCCCAGGCTCCGGAGGCTCTCTGGAAGCTGGAAACGGGTCCATTTCCAGCCTTCTCAAGCTTCCAGGTACCTGTTTGTCGCCCTCCCCGAGCCTCCGTGTGCGCTCTGCACATACCTCGCATCCAAAACAGGCCGTGTGTGGACTCCTGGGAGGGGAGGGGCTGGGTGGGTGGGGCCAGCCAGGAGTGGGATTTGGGGGTTCTCCAAACTGCACAGAATCCTAGCTAGGGGATCTCCCGAACCCCTGAGAAC